TGTTAGTGATACCAACTTCCCACTGCTCCTGGAAAAGCAACAGGTAATCGGTACGTAATCATTGCAAATCAGACCTCACACAGCAAACTCTTCACAGCTCAGGAATTAAGCAGGTGTAGGTGCATCACCTGCTCAGGCAGGTCTCTGCTATAAACGTACATCGGTACAACTACAAATCCACCCCCCTGAGCGATGCACTGGAGTCACTCCACATTTACACAAACCGATGGATGGTTCACAAAGAACGATTTTCAAAATGTTGTAAGCTGGCCAAATCAAAATCAGATTTCAGCTGGACGCACCTGGCTGGATTTCTGAATTTCCGCTTGATACTTCCACCTTTGACCTGATCTGTTTAAAACAAAACAAAAACAAACACACAAAGAAATTTACAATAACCGAAGTGTATATTTTTTCACTATCTTTGCTGTCGGAAAAAAAGATAAAACTGTTTAATTGCTTAAATGTTCCAGAAAAAAAAAAATCACCCTCAGGTAACAGCCAGAGCTCTGTGCAGGTTGATTATAGACAATGCAGTGAAGAGGGGATTGAGGGAAAAGGGTAAGAAATGAAGAATGTCAGACACTGAGCAATTCCTTAGCCAAGTGGGATGAAAAGAATTCCAGTCCCCTCTGCTTGTAGAAGCAAAGAGGACAATGTGGGACTCACACACACTGATCTAAACCCTTTAAATCAATTGAAAAGTGTCTGGGTGGAGCTCACAGAAATTAGACTTGAACTTTTTTGTGTGTTGTTTCAATAGATTCCGTGGTACTTTCAAAAACAACAAGGAATCCAGTGGCACCTTAAAGACTAAGTCCTTGTTGTTTTTGTAGATACAGACTAACACAGCTACTCCGGATATTTTCAGTTTCCGTATTACTTCATCGCAGACTTACAGGAAGAGAGAGACAGAGAGAGAGAGAGAGACAGCTGAAACACACAGGATTACCCTATGTCTTTAACTTCCCCAAGAAGGTCCCAGGAATGGAAGCACTCAGGGGTGGAAGGTAAGAGATTTTCTGCTCCAGGGTGGGTTGGTGAGATTGATTCCTGGTGTCCTTTTAGCAGCTTCTTCGTGTTTGTAAGTTGAAGGGACAAATGATTGGAAATGATTGCTATGAAGGCCTCACTGAAAACAGCTTTTAGATACTCTGTGTTTACACATTCCACATTCAACTCCACCCTGATAACCCGGCCAAAGACCACTCCAGGGGCTTTTCCTTAGAGCTGGGCAGAACTGTTTGGCCAAAACATTCTGTGTGTGTGTAAAAAATGCAGGTTTGGTGACACTGAAATGTTTTGTGACTTTCAGTTGGTTTTGCCAAATTATTTGTTTGGGGGGAAGGGCAGCCTAATTGCAGGAAAAAACAGACATGACATTTTGTAAATGAAAAATTTCAAAGTGGCTTTTTGTTTCCACAATGATTTAAAAAATGGCAGAACGCAAAGGAAACGTTTCCTTTGTCCCAAAACAAAACAAAAATTTAACTTGTTAATTAGCCGACAATTTTTAAAAGTTCTGTTTTCCACTCAACCCCAAATGCTTTTTATTCCCCTGAGTTTTCAAAAGTACCAACAAACTGCGAAATCCATTCTTTCCCCAGCTCTAGATGCATAGAGTCATAAGACTGGCAGAGAGCTCAAGAGGTTTTCTAGTCCAGGCCCCGGCACTCATGACAGGACAAAGTATTATTTAGACCCGAGGCCCCAGGTCGGGGGAGGAAGGGGGTCATG